CTTTTTATTAACTTTTAAATTCTGACAAATGTTTCAATACAGTCTTGAGAACATAAGCTATTTTGTTGTTGTTGTTGTTGTTGTTTTGTTTGTTGGTTGGTTTTGAGACAGAGTCTCGCTCTGTGGCTCAGGCTGGAGTGCAGTGGCATAATCTCGGCTCACTGCAACCTCCGCCTACCAGGTTCAAGCAATTCTCTGCCTTGGCCTCCTGCGTAGCTGGGATTATGGGTGCCCACCACCGCACCTGGCTAATTTATTTTTATTTTTATTTTTAGTAGAGACAGGGTTTCACCATCTTGGCCAGGCTGGTCTTGAACTCCTGACCTCATGATCCACCCGCCTTAGCCTCCCAAAGTGCTGGGATTACAGGCGTGAGCCACCATGTCTGGCCAAGAACAGAGGCTATGTTTTGAACTTCTGTGTGTGTTACAAGGCTTTGCATTAACTGCGCCCTCATGCAACTTTCCTAACCTTGCTTCTCTCCTATCAGGCACATTCTACTTCAGTCAGGAGAACATCCTATAGTATTAAAGTCCAGACTGATTTGTTCTCCTGGACCTGTGATTGCTAATACAACTGTTACTCGGTGTCTTTGGGGGATTAGTTCCAGGACCCCTTGCAGATACCAAAATCTACAGATGCTCATGTCCCTGATCTAATATAGCTCAGTATTTGTGTGTAACCTATGCACATCCTCCTGTACACTTCAAGTCATCTTCAGATTACTTATAATACCTAATATAATGCAAATGCTCTATGTAAATAGTTGTTATACTGTATTTTTAAAATTTATAGTTTTTTTTTACTGTATTATTATTATTATTTGAATGTTTTCAATGTGATGTTGGTTGAATACACAGATGTGGAACCTGCAGATATGAAGGACTGGCTTTACTTTCTCCAGCCTCTCCTTCCCTGTCCTTCAATGCAGGGTTTTTGTTAAACACCATATCCTTGGCTCATTTATCTGTGCTTCTAATCTGATGGGTTCTATATTAACAGGGATATGTCTGCCCAACTTCACATGCCAATTTTACCCTTATTGGTAGGCTCCTTCTGAAGGTCCATATGTCTTTTTCATGTACTTATGTGCAGTCACAAAATACTGAAAACTGTGCCTTCTGTTTATATAACATATCTATTTATAAAACACTTCAAAAATTTTATCCTAACTACTGAGAGGTGAGCAGTGCAGCTGCTAACCTCATTTGCAAATGAGAGAATTGGTTCAAAACGACTGAACAACTTCCAAAATTTATGTGTCCAATAAATTGTAGTGATTAGAATTAGACTCCACTTGAGAGCCTTTTTCACATTACAAACCTGACAACAGTGGATTTTTTCCCTGCCTATAGGCCTTGCAGAGCCTAGTAGAGTTCTGTGCATGATGAACTCACTGAGGGCACTGGACACAGGCTCACACAGGGTCTGTATTATGGTGCTAATTTGGGCCACTATACCTCGAGAGAATTAACTTACTTTAAACTCCACTGTAGACATTTATAAAATGAAGAGTAAGACACCATGTTTTCATAGGATTTTTTTAAAAACACTTTATTAATTCCCTTTCTCTTATCTTCATCTCTTTTTTCTTCTCCTTTTCTCTTTGTTTTCTTTTCAGTCAGTTCAACAATTAATTGGTGTTCTCCTACAATGTGCAAAGCAATATGCTACGGTTCACAGGGGAATGCAGAGAGGATGCTGCTTATAGCTTGTTGTGGCGAGGAACTTTTCTTCTCTCTTTTCTGTTCTCCATTTTTCTCCATTCTTCTCTTCTTCCTACCTTCTTTTTCCTCTGATGTTCAAGTAGCCCTCATCATTTCCATAAATTTCCAAGGCTTCAGCTTTGGTCAAAGGGAAGGCACTCAGCCCAGGGCCAGTGAACGAGTTTAACATTCTTACGGTCCTTTGCATCTGCACACCCAGGACTCATAAATACTCAATATAAAAGCTTTGGGGGTTTTGCTCTGTGACAGCTGGGGACTCCATGTAATTTAATGCATGATACAGCACTTTTGGCTAACTCTGTATGAGAGACTACTCAAATAGGAATAAAATATCACTTTGCAAAATACATTTAAATTATTTTCCTTCTAAAACTTTGTGACTTTAAAGCCTTAAAATCTATTTTTTGAAAGTCAAAAAATAACAGATGTTGGCGAGGCTGTGGAGAAAAGGGAATGCTTATACACTGTTGTTAGAAATTTAAATTAGTTTAGCCACTGTGGAAAGCAGTTTGGAGATTTCTCAAAGAACTTAAAGCAGAACTACCATTTGACCCAGCAATCCCATTACTGGCTATATACCTAAAGGAAAAGTAATCATCCTACCAAAAAGACACATGTGCTCACTGTTCATCTTAGTACTATTTACAGGAGTAAAGACATGGAATCAACATAGGTGCCTATCAGCAGTGGAGTAGATAAAGAAAATGTGGTACATATACACCATGGAATACTACATAGTCATAAAAAAAAAATGAAATCATGTCCTTTGTAACAACATGGGTGCAACTGAAGACCATTATCCTAAGTGAATTAATGCAGAAACAGAAAACCAAATATCACATGTTCTTACTTGTAAGTGAGAGCTATATCTTGGGTACTCATGGACACAGAGATGGGAGCAATAGATACTGGGAACTCTAGAAGGAGAGGGGGAGGGGGACAAGGGCTATAAAACCTCCTGTTGGGCACTATGTTCACTCTCTGGGTGTTGGGATCAATAGAAGCTCAAACCTCAGCATCATGCAATATATCCTTGTAACAAACCTGCACATGCATCTCCTGAATCTAAAATAAAAATGATGTTTGTTTTTTTTTGAGATGGAGTTTCACTCTGTTGCCTGGGCAGGAGGCAGTGGTGCAATCTTGGCTCACTGCAACTCTGCCTCTCGAATTCAAGCAATTCTCCTGCCTCAGCCTCCCAAGTAGCTGGGATTACAGGTGTGCCAACATGCCAGCTAATTTTTGTAGTTTTAGTAGAGATGGGGTCTACTATATTGGCCAAGCTGGTCTTGAACTCCTGACCTCGAATGATCCACCTGCCTTGGCTTCACAAAGTACTGGGATTACAGGCGTAAGCCACCGTGCCCAGCCTCTCATTCCTCTTCTACACCCCACATAAGGTGCATGAATCATTAGACACATCTATTTTTTCCCCTAAGGCTACATATTCTTAAAAATAGTTTAAGTTACCTATTACCTCTAGGCTTTTTTCCATAAAAATCATCAGTAAATTATATGCCAAACATATGGTTTTTTCCTCAAGAACACAGTTAAAATAGACTTGATTCCTCTTTGCTGTCTCCAGTCCTCCTAATATTCATACCAATAGGTATTTATCTGTCACCACAAAACACACAAAAAGACTGGTGATTGCTAAAATCACAAGAGAGCAAAGTAGAAGGAACTAGAAAGAAGGAAGCAAGTGCAATCATGATTAGGCACTTACTCTGCATCCGTGGCTGGGTTAGGAACATTCATAGGACTTCATGAACCCTACTAAGTTTAAACCTGCTCTTTTACAAATGTGGAAACTGAGGCTCAGAGGGGTTA